TTAGTGTCATGGGTCCTTGTTCCTAGCAGATAAAGTAGGTACATTTCAGGCATGTGCTGGCATTACAGTCCACAGCACAATCTCAGATCAAGCAGGACTTTTCTCTGTTGGACTCTGATGTGATTTGATCTCCCTGTACAGCATCACATTCCAGGTAGCTATTACCAATCAATCACAGTTGGCCCAGGTGTTAAATCTATTAACTTCCTATACTGGTGGGTCTTATAGCCAATCTCTCTTGCATTTATGTCAAATATTCTCCTCTCTTCAAATCAAGAATCTTCCCACCTTCCTCCTCTTTCCCTGCAGATGACTGCACCTTCCACTTAGAGAATGGAGATCTGATTAGAAGCCATCAGTAGAGGACTCACTCACCTTTGAAGCACCAAGCTACCTGCCTGCGGACCCTCTCCGTCCCTTTCTCTGGTTTCAGGTAAAGAGGTTTCCTCCTCTACCTGATCTCTGCTCCCTCCTTTCCTGGCTCTGGAACCTCTTTTTCTCTGTTTGTGCAGCCTCAGCCATTCTAGGGCATTCTTCCATTGTGTCTTGAGCATGCTGAACGTTTTCCTATCTTCAATAACAGGTGGGTGAATTGGGGGAAACATAGTTACCAGTTTTTATAAATACTTTCTCCAGCTTTTATTTTGCTCAGGAAGGACCTTGAGACCCCTTTCTGTCTTCTATCATCACAATTTTTTAAAGTAATGGATGTTTTAATTTCAAATAATGTTAACAAGATAATTCCAGAACACTAGATAAACCTGCAAATTGAAGAAATTTAGCTAATAAAGAGTTTACCATCATACTCCTTTTCTTCAGTTACTTGCCAATTAGAAAAAAAAAATCCAAGAATCCACTTCTACAAGTGAATGGACTAGGAGATCTCAGAGGCTCTTGTGCACATGCATGAGCCTGGTAGTTAAGAATGGGCCTCCTCTCCCCATGGGCTGGCATACATCACCCATGGCAGTGTTCACATGGTGTGTTCCACACTGGCCACAGTCAACTCCCAGTGAGGCAGGGTTTCCATCTGAGCCTCCAAATATTACCCAGGCATGGGTCTATTACCCAGGACCCAGGACCCTGACAAATAGCAGGTGGCCAGGTGTTTTTCTCTTGCATGTCTGGACTCTACTGTCTGTGAGCCTGCTGCATAACCTCTGGGAGAGGTCAAGTTGTGCCACATTGCTGAAACATCTCAGACACCAGTACACACGTACATCTGTGAGATGTGTCAGCTAAACAAACACCCCTTTGCAGGCAACTACCAACAGTTCTGAACACATCCAGCAGGGGTATAATGTGCAGGAAAGGGCTAAGACTGCACATTGTACATTGAAGGCCAGGGCACAAGTTGAAGATTTATCTGTGGGCCTGGAGAAAGCCACTCATCTGCACTTTAGTTTTCATGTGCAAAATGAGGAATCTATAATTAAACCCATCTCATGGCGTTATTGTAAAGATCAGAAGTAACATAATTGGAGAACCTGGCATGGTGGCTGGCACTTACTAGGCATTTTTATTAAAATAATTCCTCTAACAGAGCCGAATGAATGTATCTAGCATAATCTAATGAAGCAACTGCATTATCCCCATTTTTATAGACGAGAGATTGAGGCCCTTGGAGGTGGAATGGCTTTCCTAGGGTCTCCTAGCTGACAGTGGTAGAGCCAGGTTTCACATCCAGGCCTCCTGACAAGATCTCAGCCTTTGAAGCCCCTGGAGAGCAGCACAGAGAAGGACCAGACTGCCCCAAGGAGTAAGCATCCCTGCCCGTCCTGCTGGGCTCACAGGGCAGGGTTATGGAGCTGGGTGGGGAAGGGCCTTCATAAGTGCTGGAGGGTCCAGGCAGTTGGAGGCTCAATCTCTCACCTTCTTTTCCTGGGCTGGATTCCAAAGGTGACCTACCATGTTATGGCAGGACCTCAGCCTGGAAGGGCAGGACCTTGGCAGTGCCTGGTCCCACACCTGGTGAGGCTATTTCCTAAGATATTCTCTGGAAACACCCATGGAGTCTGGCTCAGAGAGTCTCTGGAGTGAGCAGACAATATGCCTGGGGTGGCTAAGTGTCTTTCTGGTGGTGTGGGCCCCCCTCATTCCCGCAGCCTTGGGGTTCCTCTGCTTTCCTTGAGGACCCAGCAAGGATTGGCAACAGGAGGCCAGCTGAGCCTCAGGTCCCCCTTCTCAGTCTGGGATGCCCCACAATGGACCCACAGAGGCCCCAGACAGGCGCTGTACTGAGGGAGTGTGCCACTGGGGTCCTGGGCATAAATCCTTCAGCCTGTCCTCTGGTGTGGGACTTGGGAGTGACGTGCCCACGGGAACCTAAAGAGCAGATTAGGCTCTTGTCACCAGTTTTGTGTGAACACGTTCTGGGCCAGTACTCTGTCTGCTACAGGCCCACTCTGTTGGCTGGCTGCCCTGCTCACTGTTCAGAGTTCTGGGTCACAGCTTCCTGACTGGTGTCCTGACTGGCTCGGTCCCCAGCTCATTGAGCTTTGCTCATGCCCCTGCCCTTGTGGCCTTCAGTTTGCCCATGGTTAGTTGTGGCTGGAAGGTTGCATAATTCCTGGGTTGAGAGATTTGCTGTGCAGAGTTGGCCATTTGTTCTAGGCATAGCTGAGTAAGAAGTGGTGGCCACCAGCAGGCTGTGTGTGGCTCCAGACCTTTTGTTTTGCCTGGAGGGTCCATGAGAGCAAGGTGGGGCTGCTTTACCCCACTTTACTGCCGGCTTAGCCTAAGAAGCTCACCAGACCAGGGGAGACCAGGATGGGAGCTCTGGTCAATGTTCATTCTTTCATTCAACATCAAAGACACAGAGACGATTAAATGGTGCCTACCCTTCCAGAGCCCAAGGTGAGGGTGGGAGACAGATGCAGCCCCATCCACCAGTTATAATGTGGGGAGCAGTCTAGAGGCGGGAGAAGGCAGGGAAGTGGGAGCTGTGAAGGCTTGGACTGGGCTAGCAGTGAGGGGAGGGACAGAGTGAATGAGTTTGGGGTCTTTCTGGTGGTCTGTCTGCAGATCTGACCAGTGCCTGACAGATTTCTGGAGATGGGAGAGTGGAGCTGGGCATGACACTTGTGTGCTGGCCTGGTATTGAGTGGACATCATGCCTCCATGGATCTGGAGTTTCAGGAGAGGAGGTCAGCATCTAGGGCTGCCCACACTGCTGTGCTTTTCCTCTTTAGACACAGTTTCCTCTGCCACAGAAGAGAGCTTCAGAACACCCAGGTGCTGGGTGACTCTGGTCCTGGGTCCTGGGGCAGGCAGGTGGGAACCATCTATTCAAGTGGGGCAGCTGGCTGTCACTGGCCTGTCTCAGACTCACTCTCTGGGGCTCCTCCCGGGGCTAAGGGGGAGGATGGAGGTGAATGACACACACTGGTTGCCCGTTGGAGTCTCTGAGGCTGCTCCAGTGCAGGATGCACTGCCCAGAGGACCATAGGGGGGTGGTGGGCCTCTGGGTGGTGCAGGAGTGGGGGAGGGTGCTTGAGGACCACTTCTCTGCATGGGTCCTCCAAATTGTCCTGACGCACACCAGGCCTTTGACAGGTGTCCTGCAGCAGGAGAGTGGCCCTGCCCTCTCTATGAGATCAGTCAATGTTCTGCTCCTGCAGGCTCCTCCAGACCCTCTGTGAGACCTCTACTTTCCCTGACACCTGTGCCTAAACAGCTCCTAGAATCCTAGATGGCCCAGGCCAGTCCTGGCTTTTCATGTTCAGATGAATAAACTAAGGCTGGGAGAAGGGACTAGTCTTGCTAAGGCCACAGTGGGCCATGGAAGTGCTCTAACATGAGCCCAGGTCTCTTTCTGTCTAGCTGCTGTGGGACTGTCTCTGAGGGCCTGTGTCAGTGTCTAAGCCCCTTCTTTGTCCTTGAACTGTGCTAGGGGATGCAGAGGAGGAAAGAGCAGCCCAGACAGATGTACCCTTGGCTCTTGCCCTTGAAGGATTTGGGGTTGAACGGGTGGTGGAGGAGCAGACCTCAAACACTGGACATACCCTATCATAAAGTCAGGGCATCCATAGGGTCCCCTGTGGGTTAGACTGAGTGCTGAACCTGGAGGGAAATGTGTCTGAGGATGGGCCAGGGAAAGGGAGGGCAGGGGACAGCAGTGATGAGCCTGGCACCAGGCATGGTGAATATGCTTGTCAACATCGCCTTTACTTCTCAAGAAACAGGAAGTGAATTCTGTCAACCCAAATTGCAGGTAATTCTAGCAAGAAAAAAATGTTGCTATAAGCTATTGAGCAAAGTTACTGAAGACATATCATATCCTGGTCCCAAGATAAATATTGCTGTCACCGGCAGAGACATCCACAGGAAAAAGAAGGAAGAGTGAAGGAGAAGAGAGACGCTCAGCAAGCCCTGCACCTGAACATCTGCATGAACCTCTGCATGAACTTCTGCATGAAGAGGCTGATCCCCCAATAGAGAGCATCAAGTTCATGGATCCATATTGTGATTATATGTGTTATAGTGCTGATGGTCATCTTGGCTGCCATTTTGAGTTCTTATTATGTGACAGGTTATTTAAATGCTGTCACTAATTCTTACCACCACTCTAAAGGCAGACATTGGAAATTCATCAAATACTTATGGTTATCACTCCCATTTATGGAAGAGGGAATTGAGACTTTGAGAAGGTAATAGCTAAGGTGACTCAGGTAGAGTGGGACCTAGAGCCAGGACTGTCGATTGCCAGAGCCCAGCACCTCCCTGGGGCTACAAAGCCCTCACAGCCTCAACTCTGGCTCTTTTGGGTGGGCCTGAGATTGGGATGGACAGTGGAAGCTCTCAGTATGGCCCCTGGGGCAGGAAAGAGCCTGGGAAATTAACCTTGACTTGGCAGGGTCACTTCCCTAGCCCACAAGGTCTGTTATGGAAGGACCCTTGTCCATAGCAGAAGGAGAGTTTAGGTCCCAGCTCTGTTGCTTTCCTGCCCCACTCTGGGCTTTGACTTTTCCCTTCATGAAGTAGAGGTCAGGGCTCCAAACCTGCTCCAAAGGCGAAGAAGCAGATCTTGTCTTCATTCTCCTGCAGAAGCGCCATGACCCTCTTCCCCATGCGTTCATTCCTCTTGTAGATGAGCTCCTGGCGGAAGTAGCTGTCAATCTCCTGGGCTGTCACTTGCTCATGCGGTGGGAGGGTAGTGTTGATAAAATTGGGTAGCTGCAAAGGCAAGACAGAGGCTGCCTTCCGTTCTTGACAGAGCAAGGTGCATATCCGATACACACGCGGCACAGGCAGGGCTGGGCAACTTACCTTTACGAGGCTGGACAGTGGGCTACATGCTTCGTGCATGCCTGTCATCAATTCCAATATCCTCTGAAATAAGTATTGTTTACAGATGAAGCAAACAAGAGCAGAAAATATCCTGAGATATGTGCAAAGTCACTCAGCTAGTGAAGTGACAGAGCCATCCTGAGAATCCTGGCTACTGCAATGGTATGTGTGCCATCCTGCCTCCTGATCTGCCCTGGCGAACCTCAGCTCCTAGACACTGAGTATGAGTATGCTGGGACCATATTCATCTCTCCCTTTAGTGCTGAGCCTAGCACTGCCACATGCAATGAATTCTGGTCAGCAAGAGGGTGTGGGGGTCAATCCATCTGCCTGGTGTGGCAGGAAGACCACAAGGTATGGAATTAGGTTGACATGAGCTTTCTCAACCCTGTCTGACACTGTGTAGTGCTGGGAAAGTTACTTAACATTTTTGATCCCCAGTTTTCTCATTTATAGGACAGGGCTGATGTTTTCATGGGGTTAAATGGGGTGCTGCCTTGAACTGCATTTGGCTCACCCCACTCTACAGAGAAGAGAGCGGGTAGCATCACCTTCAGTTCTTCCAATGTCTAAGTCACCATCTACCTACCCCTGGCTCCGCCACTTCTCAGGACATAACACAAACCCTTTGGGGTCTCTCTCTCTCTCTCTCTCTCTCTCTCTCTCTCTCTCTCTCTCTCTCTCTCCTCTCTCTCTCTCCTTTATTTTTATGTGGTGCTGAGGATTAAACCTAGTGTCTCATACACGCTAGGCAAGTGCTCTACTGAGCTACAACTGCAGCATTGCCCCCTGCCCCTCTTACACTTTTGGTCCCTTCTTGAAAATTTCAACCCCAGGACCACAGCTTCTTCCATTTGACACTTGTTCCACAACCTGTTTTTTAATTGCCAAGGTTTCCCAGCCCTGGGCTCTTCATCATCCTGCCCTCCACAGCCAGTCACGGGGACTGGCAACAGTACTGCAAATGTGCTCTTAAACTATGCAGAGAGCTGTCTGAGTTCAAAAACAGAATCTTTGTCATTCTGGGTTCCTGGTGCCTGGACAAAATGCCCTCTGAGAGGTCCTAAAACTTGAACATACATTGATGTTGACCCTTCCTGACTTCAGTTGCTCTCCTGTGTTCTTTGATGCCCAGCGTTTCACCTTTCCAATCTGGATTGCAAGCCTAGCCAGCCAGCACCATCTCCTTGAATGTATGCATGGGGCCAAGGAAGAAATGGAGGCAGTGAGTCACAGACAGCCTCTCCTTCCCCACAACCCATCAGTGTCACTACCATCTCCAGACTTTTGCTTGCAGAAGTCTGCAAGCAAAGTCTGCTGTCACTAATTCTTACCACCACTCTAAAGGCAGACATTGGAAATTCATCAAATACTTATGGTTATCACTCCCATTTATGGTCTTTCATTTCCCCAACTTCCACTTCTCTCCCTGCTTGCAGAATGTGAGACCACATTATACCAACACATAAACATTTGCTCAATCAGTGTGAGTGGGTGAGTGGACAGGCCAAGAGGCAGTAGAAGTAGAGCAGTTATATGTGTAAGTTAGACAGCCAGGACACCTTGGGTTGGAGTCCCTCTTTTGCAGCTTACTAGCTGGGTGGCCTTACTCTAACTGGAAGGTGTCTTGGCCTCTGGGAGAATCCGTTTCCAAACTGGAAATAAGGTGGGGAGCAGGGGATACATTATTGTAGGGATTACATGTTTTGGAAAGTGCTTAACACAGTGCATGGCACAAAGGAAGTCTCAATGAACGTCATCTATTACACACTTAGCTTGGGGGCTGGCGCTGGCTTCATCACCTCTTGTGTGAGGACGCAGGCAGCCTGTGAAGGGAGGCCTTGGGCTGTGGGTAGAGACGGAGAGGACAAGTCGAGGGTCATCAGAACCATGAGATCCATGAAGGCAACACTGTACTTCCCTTCCCTCTTCCAAGGGTCTCTGGGACCCGTGATCATGTGACCCCTCCTCCTAGGTTCCTGACCATAACTGTATACTGGTACAAAATGCAATTCCACTTATTCCTTAGGGAGTTTAAAAAAATTAACAAGATCAAGAGCAAAAAAAATTAAATTTCAAAGCCATGAAGAAATCAGGGGGACATTCAGGTTCCCCAGGCTGTCCAGCTGCTGGCTGACATTCTCTGCATTTTCATGCTGATGGGCCTTGACTCTGTGCCAAGGATGGGGCCTGGGTCTGGGCCAGGGCTGAAATGGGAGCAAATTAATGATGTCATTAGACTAGTCAGGGGCCTTAAATCTCCCATGACAAGTTTAAGTGCAGGATGCATGATAGCATTTCAAAGAGGACATGTAAAGTCCCCAGGGTCCAGAGCTCAGTCTGGGTTGGGGGGTGGGCAGGGCTGGTGGGGCTGCGAGAGATGGCTCAGGCTGGTCAGGTCTGATGGTCAAGTGCTCAGGTCTGCTGATGACATTGATCTCAACAAACCCTTCCATCTGGCAGGACCTTCTGCGATCCTCCACAGGTCCAGCCCTGTGTCAGGGTAGGGGCCCTAGAGCACCCTCAGACTGGGTCTGCTGCCCCAGTTGGGGCTCATAGCCTAGTAGTGGAGTCGCACATACCCCCAAGAGTGCTGTGTGATGTATGCTTGAAGAGGGCCAAAAGGAGCTCACTGGAAGCAGCAGATGGTGGGGCCACATGTCTTGGTTTGGCCAGGACAGTGCAGGTTTATGGTTGGAGGAGATGTTCCACACCTGTCAATCATTTTGACTCTGAACTGTAATTCATTCTCAAAGGAGTCTGCATTTGGACAAGACACATATGTAACTGCCCTACACCTCAGGTAGGCTGGGGGCACAGGCAAGTCTTCCTGGGGGAGGACCTCGGGATGGCCCAGTCCATGTTGGGGCAGTGACAGTGCCAGTGACCTGGGGGCTGCAGAAGCCGAGGCACGGTCAATTCTGAAGGTGGGGACAGTGCAGTAGGGAAGCAGGAACCAAGTGGGAGGTGCACCCAGTCCCTTTCCTTAGCACTGTCTACTTGGGCTCTGTACCTGTCTTGGCCTGGCCTCCAGAGGCCGCTTATCCTCTCCGGCGCTGCAGCCTGAGGCATCTTTCTGATCACATCACCCTTGGGCTCAGACTCTCCAGGCTCTCACCATCAGCAGGAGTTTTTGCCCCTGCATGATCTGCCCCCTGCTCTGCAAAATCATGCCTTCAGGTGGGCCCACATCCCCATGCCCCACCAACCAGCCTGCTCTGCCTGCCAGCCCCTCCCTCCATTCTCCCCTGTGAACTCCACTCTTGAGCCTCATTCCCATTCACCCTCCCCCTGAAGCCTTCTGTGGCTGCAGGCAGAGTGACTAGCCCTACATCCTCTATATCCTCAGCCTCCACAGACTGCAGATGCAGCTCCACCACAGTCAGACCATGTAAGCCCTGGGTTCAGCCTTGCTACCCTGACACAAGACTTTCTGTTTCTGGGGCAGAGTTGCCAGTCCTCCTCAAGGGTAGGTTCTGCCTGAGCATTCTGGTGTACATCCTGGGTGGCTATGGTACTATGGGTGGACCAGTCCTCTCATCCTCTGTCCCACTTCAGTATGGGTACTGCTGGAGGACCCCTGAGGCAGTTCTCTACTACCAGAGACAAATCAGTGCTTCTGAACACAGACCAAAGAAAATGTGAGCTCACCATCCCCTGAGGTCATCTTGCACCTTCCTCTTTCAGTTTGGTCAGCCATAGCCTGGCCAGGACCTTGTCCTACATACCCTTTTGCAGGTTGGCCACATCACAGCCAGGCCAGCCTCTCTGCCCAGAGCTCCCTCCACCTCTCTCCCAGAGGGTGATTCAGGTCAAGGCCTTGCCATAATGCTGTCACTAATGAGATTTCTACCAGCCTTGTGGTGTCCGGGTTCTCCCCTTCACTTCTCTTCCACCTAGTCACAGCCCTCAGAATCTCAAGCCTCCTACAGAGGGGTCTGTGGTTCCTTCTTTTTTTTATCTTTTAAGCTGCTCCAAGCACATAATATGCCTACATTTGCTTGTTTGAAGGTTGCTTACTGGCACATGCTCTGTGCCAGGCTCTGAGGGGTCCTCTTGGCAGCAGGAACTAAGAGATGAACAGCATTATCTGTGCCCTCAGGGAGCCCATGTCTGGAGGGTACCCAGCAGACACAGACAGAACACCACAGCTTGGCCCTGGCACATCTCTGGCCTGAACTCTAACTCCACCTTCTACTCTCTGTCTCTGGTTAGTTCACATGAACTTTTTCTGCTGGAACATTCCTTCTTCTGTCTGTGTCCAACTCAGTTTCGGTGGCTTCTCACCTTGCAAGAATCTCTCCTGCTTTTCCCAGCCCTGACTAGATTAGCTGTTTCTGTGATGGACTCCAGCCACACTGCTCCCCACAGAGCAATGGCTTCTTGAATCTCCCCAGTGAGGGGGTAAGCTCTACAGAGGCTATTTTCTCTGGCTCCCCACCATGTTCCTTTGCAGGCATAGTACCTGGCATTTACAAAGGATTTCATTCATTCATTCATTCAGCAAATAGTTACTGAGTCCTGCTGTGGGCCAGGGACTGCTCTAGCCAGTTGGGATATATCAAAAATAAAACAGACCCAACTTCTGCCCTCATAGAGCTTGTGTTCCCAGGGAAAGGACCACATAATAGTCACTAATGAGCACATCAAGCATATATTGCATTGGAGGATCTTTGAGGCCAGGGAAAAAGTGAAGCATAATAAAGGATGTAAAAGAGTGGGAGTGGGGGGTTAGGTTGCACTTGGTGGATGGTTCCATCCTCACTAAGCTGATGATGACTCCGTAAGTATTGAAGGTGGAGAGGAGTGGGCCACGGGGATGCCTGGGAAGAGCACTCCAGGCAGAGGGAGCAGCCAGCATGAAGGTAGGAGTGAGTGAGGTGGGTTCATGGACAGCAAAGAGCCTGCAAGGCTGGAGTGTATGTAAAGGAGATAGCCAGAGGGGGAGGGGCTGGGAGCAGGGCAGAAAGTGTGGCGCACAGGCCGTTGTGGAGACTCTGAGGAAAATGGAAGGCCCAGATGGTGGGTGTCCTGAGCAGGGAAGTGGCCTCTTCTGCCTAATTCTACTGCATCTTTGATGAATGGATAGCTGAGTCCCATGACAGAGGAAGCACAGGAGGACCACAGAGGTACCTGGGGGAATATCTTTACTTCATCCAGGGAACCAGAAAAGGTTTCTCAGAGGAGTTGACCATGGCCAAGGTGGAGGAACTCAGAGGGGTGGAGGGCCCCTGACCAAAGGCACAGAGGTATAAAAGGACAGGCTCCCTTAGGAGAAGAGCTATAGGCCTCCAGAACAAGCAAGGTGATTGGGTGGGGAGCTAAGCTGACAAGACCAGCAGAGGACAGATTCTGGAGGGCTTTGAATGCCAGGAAAAGTGTCTGGGAATTGACCCTGGGAGCAATGAGGAAGATGGTGGAATCTGGGAAGGGACAAACCCATGCTCAGCCCTCTCAGAACCCTATTCACTATGGCCTAATGGTAATCTTTCCTCTAGAACTTAAATGGAGGCAGAATGTCCTGGGCTGGAGTGGAGTTCAAGTTCATTGTTAACCATGGGCTTTCTCTTCCCTGGGCCTTGGTCTCCCTAGATGTTGAACTGAATCTCTCTGAGGACTCCATGGTGTTATAGGCTAAGCTTCAAGGTCCTAGGCCCCACAGCCACACAGACCTGGCACAAATCACTGCTCTTGATAAATTGATAATTCAACAACTATAGGCTGTGTGACCTTGGGCAAGGCTTTTCCGTTTTCTGAGCCTCAGTTTCCCCATCTGTAAAGGGGATGACAGCCCCCGCATATCAAGGTTGGAGAGGAGATGGCCCATGCCTGGTACACAATGGGTGTCTAATAAATGCCAGATGGGTTTCTATGGGCCTGACTCGAGGTCTTTTGAGCTGAAGACATAGGGACCGTGGAGCTAGGGCAGAGGAAGCAGCCTCACCTGGGACGTGTCGTGGTTGAAGATGACGGCGTTGAGGTCCCCGCAGTTGTAGTGCTTGATGAGGTCCTCTGTGGTGTAGGGCACCTGCAGGCTCCCAGCCCGCACGCTCTCGTGCTGCAGCAGGGTCTGGTTCAGGGCAAACAGCACCTGGCCGAGGAAAGAGAGGGGCATCAGGGCTGTGCTGAGGACTGGCAGGCCTCTAGGATGGTCCTCCTCTCTCTGGATTTCAGGGCAACGTGCCTGAAACAGGTGTGTGCACCTAGCACCAGGGGGCTCAGGAGATATTTCCATACCTCCTGCTTCCCGCCCGCTGCTCTGAGCATGGTCAGCCTGCTCATCTCTAGCTCTCTGCTCACACCCGTCCCCTCCTGCTCTAGGTTTCAATATCTTATTTGATGACAGGGCAGGATGAAGACTGTGCTTGCCTGGGTTTGGAATTTTAGGTGAGTTTATCTCTGAATTCCTTTTGTGTTCCTGTCCTTAGAAGTGTTCTAGCACATTTTGTAACTAAGAACATCCAAACAAAGCAAAACAAATACGTCTGTTAAGATGTCAAAGCCCAACAGGATGACCACCTTCTTTGGAAGCGTCCCTCATCCAGGGGAGGCCCCAGGAACTCGGTCCTCAAAATCTGGTCCACACTCATAGCAGCAGGCATGTTCACAAGAGCTGCTGTCCTCTAGGCCAACATGCCTATCCCTGGGGCCACAGTTATGCCCAGCCAGACCTGCCAGTTATCAGTGTCACTTGGAATGCTATGCAAAAATCAGATACCCAGGTCAGGCCCTCTGGAATCAGAATCTTTGTGTTTTGAACAGTGTCCCTGGGCACTTCCTGAGTAGTCCCACTGCCTGTGGCATCTGTGGATCAGGGCTCTCATGGAACATGAATACTGGGGTGCAAAGGTCCTTGATAGATTGTCTAGTTTGGTGCCATCATTTTAGGCAGGGACACTAAGACCCAGGGAGGGGAGGGCTCTTCCTCACATGGCTGGAGCTGGAGCCAGCATCACTGGACTACGTATCCCACACTCCTTTGATCAATGGGTGGGAGAAGCCTGATTATTGGGTTATTTAGGAAAGATGAAGAGAAAAACTCATTGCAATTCCCAAGCAAATATCAAGAGGTGATCTCAGATCTCCTGTCCCCACTGCTCTCCAAGCCTCAGGCTGTGTGTTCCGTCCCCATGGCCAGCTCATTCTGTTCTGCACAATGCTTTAGATGACAAGACCCCGGGCTCTTGGCCCACACCCATTCAGGCCCCAGCATCTCTCACTGGGTCTATTGCAATAGCCTCTTCCAGCAGTTCCCTCCCCTCCCAGTCCATCCCATGGTTTTTCTTATTTGTTTTGTTTGTTTTCTTTCTTTCTTTTTCTTTTATTTTTGTTAAAAGCTAAATTCTGATGGCCTCCTTCCTTCTCTTTTTTGCTCAAAGCTTTCCTGCCCTCAGGTTCAAGGGCTAGCTCTTCAGTAGTTTCCAAGGTAGTAATCTGGACCTTTGGCTCCCATCGTCTCTGTGAGTAGTAAACTGAAGGATTAACGGCCCCAGATCTTGACCCCTTCCAATGTCCATGCCCTTCCCCATGGAACTTTGTAGCCCCCTCCCTTTCTGACTCTGGACTCTCTTCGGCCAATGCGCGCCAGTAACCGCTACAAATGAAGTACCAAAGCAAAGCACTAGAGTGCTTCTGCTGCTGCTACTGCTCCTGTCCCTCTGCCATCACCCTGAGAGCAGCCCAGGCCAGTACAATGAGGGATGAGAGACACATAGGGCAGAGTGGTCCAGCCAGGCCACCCTAAATCAGCCGAATCCCAGACAGGAGAGCCCAGCAAGATCAGCAGAGCACAGCCTCAACTGACTCAGCCACATGAGCAGGAAATGCCATTGTTTCTAGGCATAACTGTGGTGATGATGTTTGATATGCCATGCTTCCTTCCCCCTTGGTGTGGACATCAGATTGCCACTGTGTTTAACTGCCAGATCCTCTCAGTAGGCCACAAACTTCTTGAAGACAGCGATTGCATCTCAAAGCGATTGCATCTCATTCATCTTTGAATCTCAGTGCTCAGCACTGTGCCTAGTAAAGGAAGGATGTCACCCCTTTTTTCTTTAGTATCTTGACACCTCTTATGGTAGTGCAAGGATGCCAGCTCAGGCCTTAAGAACAACCTGGAGGCCTCTATCACTCTACCACATGCTGCAAGTTCTCACCAAGACACATAATCTGAGCAAGAAAAGCTGCTGAAATAGGTACCTGTGGCCTGGCCAAAGTGCTGACACAGGCAGCAGGGCCAGGCCTGTGCTCATGAGAGCACCTTCACCGGTCCCCTCCCAGTTTTGCTAATGGCTGGGCAGGAGAGCTGGACGGTGTGAGAAGCAGCAGCAGCCCAGGCTGCTCCCCCTAATGAGCTGGCTGGAGATGAGGTCAGACTCCCCTACCTCCAGGCCCTCTTCAGGTCCCTAGGCTCGGGCTGCCACCACTGAAATCTGATCTGCAGCCATCTGGTACAGGGTGTCGATGGCAGCATGGTGGCTGGGGATAGATTACAGGAGGCAGTGGCCTTGTTACTGTGGACATTGCTAAGGCAACAGGCACTTCCTCCCACAGGTCACATGCCTTGGATGAAAGTGTCCGTGTCGAGCTGATCCGCTCCCCTCCTCTGAGGGCCTGGGACACACAGACTTCCTGTGACCACACCCAGCCTCTGCACACACCTGCCTGCTGCTGCTCAGAACAGCCCAGCCAAGGCGCCACCTGACCTGCGGTGAGGTCATCGGCCTAGGCGCCAGAAGACCTGGCTGGAGGGGAAATGGCTCCCTTGGCCCCTGCTTGTCTCACGGAGTCCCTTCTGTAATCATGTATGTGGCCCTCATGCAGCTGGGAGGTGTTCTAGTGGATTAAGTGTATTACAATCTGCAGGGTGTTAAGAACAGCTCTGGCACGGAGTAAGTGCTGAATATGTGTTTGTTAAATAAAACTTAGAAGAAAATAGTTCAACTCAAGCCTTCCCAGCTTGGAGCTGGGAGGGTCCCAAGAGGTCATCTGGTCCAGAGGGTTTTCAAACCTTTTTTAGCCATGGAATCCTTTTTTGTTGTTTTCCAAAATGAACCTTCCTTGGAACTCCAAATGTAGAGTAGATAAAAATGGAAACTTTGATGGCTGATGTAAGAGAGGCAGAGCAGAGCCTGAAGTCCTGCCAGCTCAATGCCCCCACAAAGCAGGGACTCCCCCAGGTACCTGGAAGTCAAGTTTGAGAATCTTATCCTATGCCCTCATCATTTAAAAGGGGAGAGGAGACAGCGTCCTGGAAGAGGTAGGATGGGGCTTTTTCAAGGTCACAAGTGAGCTGGGGCCCAGTGGGCTCAACCCTGTGCACCCTGACTCCTAACCTAGGACTCTTTGTAGTGCCCTGGACTGAGGCAGGAGTTCCAGACGTCCACTGGCACAGTTTCTGTCCAGCAATACTCATTTCTTTCTGAATCCTTGTGAAATAACCAGTAATATTTGTTATTGCTGGGTTAGAAATGGAAAAGCCAAGGCTGGGCGATTTAAGATGTGTCCCTATGGTATCGCAGTTGGAGGGCGGGGGAGCTTTGACATCCCCAACTCTGCCACCTTGGTGGGATTTGGTGCCTCTCACAGATTCCTGTCCACAGACTCTTGCAGTGGCACATGTCCCACTGAATTATCCCTTTTCCTGCCTGTCTGTTGACTCTGAATCTCCAGGTCACCCACGGCAAACACTGAGGGGACACCAGAAGAATGCTGCTCCTGGGGCATTGCTCCTCCCACTCTGCTTTTATGATTTATAAAGAAATCTTCATCCATTCATTACTAGGATTCCCTAGGTTTATTGATCACTTACTACAAGTCAGGAACTTCCTAAGCTAACTAATTATTTAATCTTTACAGGAACTCAGAGGTAAGAATTTAAAAATAAAAATAAAAAGAACTGCAGCAAAGAGATGTTAAGCACTTTGCCAAGGAGACAGATTTGGAGAGAGGTGAGGCGGGTGTTCAGGTCAGCCTGGAACCTGTCCTCTTAGTTAACCACTGCCCACTGGGGCCTCTCTCTGCTGATTTGGGGTCGGGTGCTGGTGCAGGAAGCCATCAGGAATGGTGTCCCTATTGACAGATGGGAAATGAAAGAAGCAGATGGGAGTGACAGGTCCAAGGACACACAGTTGTAGAGGAAAACTGGGTTTCAAATTACACTTCTCTGTTTCCACATCAGGTTCCCACAACCAGGACTTCAAAGCACCAAGTCTTCCTCCATGAGCACTCTTGGTGCTTCTAACAGAGAGAAGCTGCACTTATTCATTCCTTCAACAAACATTGGCTTTCAGCTCCTTCCATTTGGAATCTGAATTTGGGGGACAAAGTGGGCTGGGTCTCTGACCACATGGAGCTCTTTTTGAGGGCAGACAGGCCTCTGGCAATCATGGTAAGGGTGATACAGGTACAAGCTTTAGGATGAAGTGCCAGCCTAACTTCTGCCTCCTTCCCAGTCACCCTGAATTCCTCAGCCTGGCGCTGCTCAGATTTGCAAGCTTCCATACTTTCTGCTCTTGGCCACCTTAGAATAACAAACCTTCCTCACCCAGAGCCTCGGTGGCCCACTTGAGGATAATGTTTATGATAAGGTTTTGACATGGAATAACAAACACTGGGCCAGAGCTGCCTCACTCCCACTGGAAGGCTGTGCGGAGGCCCAGCCACCAAGATCCCTGGCCTCCAAGAGCCCTGGTTCATCCCCACAGCCCCCTCCCTTGCCAGGGCTCACTGGGTTTAAGGTGGCCCACGGCATTTGCTGTGTAGGCCTGGAATTTAAATATGTCTTCAAGTGCCGGCCTCGGAAAGAGTGCGGCAGGCGCCAGGAGGGTGGGACAGGTTTATTCTTCCAGAGTCGTCCTGTAAACAGTTCTGGGTGATCTGGAATGGTGGGCCCAAGGCCTATGCTGACTTGGTGGCCCAGCAATGTTATCTGAGAAGAAAGTGGCAGGACTTACTTTGTTAGGAAGGAGGTTTGGACCCTGGGCCCTGGGAAAAACCTGGCTCTCAGGCTAGGGGTCTCAGGTGGGCTGAGAACACTGCTAACCCTTGCTGGGGCACCGGAGGATCCCAGAACAAGCCCCCAGCCCCTCA